TCATCAGAATTTTATACACAGTAAAAAGCACTGTATTATTACTGTGCTTCATTTCTACATAGTGCAGCAATAAACAATTCATATAAGCAAATTTTCTCAATTCAGCACCTCCAAAAAATGATAGGAGAGAAGGGGAATGGAAGAGAGAGGTCTTAGGTGAGTAGAACTGTCAAATTCACAAAGACAAGGCAGGGCAGACCCAGGGAGCTTATGGAAGGACTAACACACCGTGTTTCATGGTAGTTGTTTTGTTCTTAATCATAGGCACTAGTTCCTGTTTGTAACTTGCAATTCTCTCTTCTAGAACTCATCTACAAAGAAGTAATGAATTCTGAAGAAAAGACTAAAAATGGCGTAGTAAAAGGACAGCCTTCTCCTTCAGGTACTCAGCCCCATTGAATAACTTTATTATGCTTTATCTGCTGACATAAAGAGAATGGAGGTAGCTGAAGCACCTGAGCTACACTTGCAGTTATGTAAAACAAATAAGAAGTCTTTATGAAATCCAGTGCTCCTAATGGGTTGACCTTGATTAATTGTGCTCCAGTGTCATGTTAATACTTAAAAATTGGTCTAGTGCTATTTTAGATGTAGTTGTCCTGGTATTTTCTATGGAAAGATCTGTGGTTACAGATTATATCCCTGTGGGTGGGAGGCTTATCTCACACTATTATTATTATTATTATTATTATTATTATTATTATACTGCCTATGGATAGATAACTGAACTAATACTCTACTAGCTGATATAAGCAAAACTGGTGATGTTAGCACACATGCATATCTTGGACATGTGACATTGCACCAGGTAAGCATCTGGTACCTAATGCCATAGTTTATCCTTTCAGAAATCTCGTAACATTAGAAAAGCTTAGTTGACCCTTTGATGAGAAGGGAAAGTTGCCTTCAAGCACAGATTCTTAGAGTCCTGTCACAAAATAAAATCACCTCTATGTTTTATCTGAGGAAAATTCACATCAACAGTCTTTTCATAGAAAAATCTCTTTTCACAAGAGATTAGTTTCCATGATTACTTGATTGGACATTTTGGGAAGACAGCGGAAGTTGACAGCACTAAGGATAATAGTAGCCCATTGATCATGCGGGCGCCTTAGACTATCAGGGTGTCCGTCACTTAGTGCTTCCTCTTGTCCTGTGAGGAACTAGTTAATGCAACATACAAACATGGGGCTTGGGAGGAAACCTCAAGTGCTCCTCATGCTCATGTCATACTCATGAACAAAATCAACTGTGTCTAAAAGCAGATACTTCTGCTGCCTGTTCCAAAAAATAAACAACTCTGTAGGCTACCTTATTTATTTTCAAAAAGATTTTTTTATTGCCTTGCCTAAATCTTTTTTCACTGCAGTTTAACTCTGTTATTTCTCACACTGTCTCCAGAGAATATGGAGAACAGTTTCCTCCATATTTCTTTCTGGCAGCTTTTAGCTCACATGAATTCCATTATCACATCTCTAATCTGTCTTCCGTCCCTTGAACTTCACTACCTGCATCTTTCAAACTTACTGCTTTTCTCTACATTTTATCTAGTTGACTTCTATCTTTCATAGATCACAATGTCCAACCATATCTGCTTTAAGGCACTAGAATTGGTAAATGGTTCTGGTTTATTTATAAATTCGGGTGCTGTTCTCCTTACTGACAGCTCACTTTTCAAAGGGTCTATGCTGTATCATTACTCAGCTGGAAGAATAAAAGTGAAAAGAATAAAGTGTTTTCTCAGTGGAACTCAGTCACAACCATATGTGTGAGAAACAGCCACTAAATTTAATCAGCCTTCAGGACTGTTGTCTAATTCACACATGAAGATATATACCTCTTATACACCTATATACTCTCCAAAATACACACACATATACATATATGAGGCTATCACACATGGGTTCCACAAAAGGTGTATTATTTATTTTTCATTACTTGCTTTACCAGGACATGTAGAACTTTTCACTAGCAGTATCAGGACTCTTCTGCTCTGTCACTTCTGAAGCAGAGAACCAAAGGATATCTTTTATGCAAAGATATGAAAGGAATTTACCAATGCTGTGATTAATGCATTAGAAAATGTGTTTCTGACTGGTATTAACAAACAAGTATTTCCATTAAATTAAAACAAAAAAAAATATAAGGCTGTACATTATTTGGACTCAAACTGAAGTTCTGTCCAAAGTAAATAACCTTGCTGCAATTTGTAGGTTTCCTGTGCTGTGACACTGCATACTATCTAACCTTCTCTCACAGTCTCCCCTAGTCTTTACTATCCAGCTGTAGTTTCAGACCTAACATTTTCAACTGTCTTCTCATTCCTGGATACTGAATAGAGTAAAGTGCAGCTTATTTTTAGCAGTTTCCTTTCTTGTTTAAAATTGTGCTTCTATTCTTCCTTTCCTGCCTTTTAGTTGCTGTCTGATTTTGTCAGTGTTGTTGCTATCACCCAAGGACTACTAGACACTCTTAGTAGTCCTCTTCTGTCATGTGCAGAACCTGCAATAAGCAGCTGGTGGCATTGCGATGTTGGTTATCAAGAGTTACTAATTAGATGGTTTACATGAAGCAGAGCAAATCCTGAAGACAGACACAAGGCTTTTTTTTGGAAACAGCAAAAGCTGCAGTTTTCTTTTTAAGTTTTATCCCCCCACATTGGTACCACTTCTCAGCTGAAGTCTTAAAGGCACTTCCATAGGTGCTTAATTGAATAGGGCCTCACAGGAGTTCTCTGAAGAAGTAATCCCTGCTTTATAGCATGGAAGATGACATGTGGCTTAGAGGAGTAGCTGTCAAGTCAAAGGCAGAGCCAGGCACAGGTCTCAGGAGCTGTTTCTCACCTGCTCTAACCTTTTGCTCTTTGCCTTGACTGTGCAGTCAATGAGAAGCTCCCTGTCAAACAGCAAATTCAGAGAAGGGACTCTCTTTTCACTTTTGAGTGCACCTGTGTCATTTCTGCGCTGGTTTACCTGACACCAGGAACAAGCTATTGTAGCACCAGGCAGGTTCTGAGCATAGCAAATGAAGCATTACTTACTGACTAGGACAGCTTTTGATTTGGTTTCTGAGTGTTGCTGCATAAGTGCTGCTTTGTGCTGCTGAATTCTTTAATTCCGTCATTTAGGTTGGGTTTGATTTCATTTTGATTTGTGTATATTTTGTGAGTCTGGATGCTTTGAGGCTGCAATGGTAACAGGTTTGTATATCATGTCATGTGGAATTTTGTTGAAAGCCAGGGATAACTGTAAAAATACATTTTTCCAGAAGCTTATGGACTAAACTTATGGACTTATGGATAGTTGCTGAAATGAACATAGAAGGGTTTATTGAATTCAGTGGTGCTGAATCAGCCAGAGTGTAACAAAGTCTTCACCTATATCACTTCTGCAGCTATTTCTTTAGTTATTTTGCCTAGTTAAGTTGACCACACATTCATCAAAGGAAGCTGCACAGCAACAGCTTAATCAAAACTCAATTGAACCTACTGTAATTCCTTCAGTTTAATTTCTGGGCAGTATCCATGACTTAATGGCAAAATTCTGTCCAGCACTGTAAACATTTAGAAAGGTCATATATTGCATAGTCATTAATAAAATTAAATTCAGTTATATTTTGACTATATCTAAATGCATTTCTCTTGACTGATTATTATTTTCCTAAAATGCCACATGGTTTAATAACATGTAGACATGAAGTAATAGAAACATAGAATGTTTGGGCTGGA